TTTTCATATTGATTCTCTCAGTCTTACGAGAAAGATACTCGACTCTAGTCGATCCATTTTTGAAAAAAAAATAGAAAAGATATATACGCTTACTGAAGGTGAAACTTGGAAATAGATCAATTCCTTCTGTCGCGTATCCTCGATTAATGCAACCTCATATGCTATGTTTCTATTGTGGATTCTAGTATTCAGCGAAAGGTTACACCTAGGGAAGGGAGTTCTCTTCTGTATTATGAGTTAATACGACTCTACTAGTACTAATAGGCAGCATAGGGGAAGACGCACTACATTTAGGAATCAACAACACGAAAACTTTGTTAGAAATTACCCCTTGCTTATGGTGCTCGGGACTAAAAGAATGGTTGGGATAACAAGCACCCATCTCGTTTGTACTTTGGATATCCGTATAACCGTCGAAGGGTGTTGAAGTGACTAATTCCTGGAAATTAGAAAGCGTTGAAAACAAAGAAATTGTTGGAGGTATCTTTTCTATCTAGTTCCACTAGTCCCAATAGGCTGGTGTTAAGAAAAGATCTCTTGCAGGAAGGTTGGCTAGAGATTTCTTGTAAAAACACTAGCCCCGGCCAGTTCATAATGAGAATATGTTAATCTTTTTTATTTTAGATTAGATTTTTTATTTTCCTTATGCACAATAGGGTGGAGCTGTATGAGATGCAAATCTCACGTACGGTTCTGAAACGGAGGGTTTTAAAATTGAACGACGACCGTAACGGATGTCAGCTCAATCCGAAGGAAATTATGCGGAAGCTTTACAGAATTATTATGAAGCTATGCGATTAGAAATTGATCCTTATGATCGAAGTTATATACTCTATAATATAGGACTTATACACACAAGTAATGGAGAACATACGAAAGCTTTAGAATATTATTTTCGAGCACTAGAACGAAACCCATTCTTACCACAAGCTTTTAATAATATGGCCGTGATCTGTCATTACGTGCGGCTATCTCCACTATAGAAACAAAAAAGAAAGAAAACTCTACTCTACGAGTAACGACTGCAAAAAACTAGGCTTTCTACATATGCATCGTCGAAAATAACGATTTATATTAGCTGTAGTAACTTCATAGGAGTCGAAATAGAAAAAAATAGATAGATAATAGGCCTAGTTACTTTTTCTATGGATAAAAAAAAGGATCTAATTGATAGAAGAAGCGCCGTAAAGATCAATTCCCCGGGTTTTAGGCCGATAGAATAATAACTGCGTACTACTTATGTCAGGCTGCTCATATAGATAGCCTTATCGCATGATGTGAGATAAAAATTAGGAATCGACTTATGTAATAGAGTTGATCCCCTAAAGTTTTGCGCAGCGGTGTAGGATCAAATCCCAAAGATAGTAAGTCTTTTTCTTATGACGGAAAGTCTTTTTCAAAAATTCTACATAAAATTTTAGATGAAACCGAGATAGTTACTTTTCAGAAAATTCCTATAAAATTCCTATAAAGGAACTTTATTCTTCTGGTGGTGGGACAAAAGATAAAACTAAATAAAAATAAAATGGATTGTGAATCCAAATTTTAGTTTGAAACTCATGTAATTAACCTCTTTTGGCTAACCCGAATAAATTGGATAGAGTCATATAAATCTCATTCATTAGGTATAATAGATTAAAATAGTACACCAAAAGACTTGATTGCCGAGCCGTATGAGGTAGGAAACTCTCAAGTACGGTTCTAAGGAAGGAATTTAACTACCTATTCCGACCGAGGAGAACAGGCCATTCGACAGGGAGATTCAGAAATAGCGGAAGCTTGGTTCGATCAAGCGGCTGAATACTGGAAACGTGCTATATCGCTTACTCCCGGTAATTATATCGAAGCGCACAATTGGTTGAAGATCACGAGGCGTTTCGAATAAAAAAGCTGACATCTTTTAGTTTTATGATTGAATTTAATATTTAGATTTAGATTATCTATAATTATAAATTATTATTATAGATCTTTTTATCATTTTTGGTAAAATGAATTGTTTGTTTGTCCTATCAGTCAAATAAAAAATGGATCATTCCTTTGGGAAGACCCAATTACTACAGAATTTCATTATACCCCTTCTAAGTGCTCTATTTGATCTGGTATTTGGTAGGTATAAAAAAAAAGAGACAAATTAATTATTAATATTATTAAATATTAAATTAATATTAATAAATTATATTAAATTAAAAATTCATTATTTAAATTAAAAGAATTTAAAAGAAAAATTGAAAATAAAAATGAATCAAAGAAAGTTACCTTTCGAATCACTAAATCTATATATTGGTATATCTCTTACCAATGGCTTCTGGCACGGTTTTGTTTGTGATTTGAAATAGAATTAGAATCTATGTAAAACGAAAAGTTGAAAAAGATAGATCTAAAAACTTATAAATAATGAATAAATGGTATATGACTATCTCCTCGGTTACACAAAACAGCCTTTTTTGATCAATCTAAAATAGAAAAAAAGTTTTATAAGATTCTAATGGTCCGTTGGGCG